AAAAAAGCCGGAAGTGGCGCTGTGGCTCAAGTGGTAGAGCACTAGCTTTGAGCTGAAGAGCTGAGGGACAGCACCCAGGCCCAGAGTTCAGGCCCCACCACCAGACCAAAAAAAAAAAAAAAAAAAGCTACATGTATTACTAAATAATCCTGTAAAGCCTCACAACATTGCAACCCCTGGAGTCATGATTTATGATTAAATAATATGATTTCAGTGTCTTCAGACTGTCTTTATTAAGCCTTTAAAATAAAATGAGACATTTAAAAATTGATGTCCCCCTCAAAAAAACAAAAAAGATTACTTTGAGAAAACCTTTATTACACAGCTATATATCACTAAATTCATTTCTATTTAAATAAACAAACACAAAATTAATAAAATCAATCCTAGCAATTATCAATCACTGGTCCCCAAGTGGTAGAGAACATCTTAAGGCACACATCTCTTGGTTGTTTTTAAATCTGGAGCATAATTATTGTCCAAAATAATTTTTGCATGAGTTATAGAACCTGACTCTATAAAACCACAACTCCTGATTCCAAATCACTTTCTGGGAGAATGAATATATTCAGGAAAGGTATCAGAAGTTGTCACAAGACCACTGACTACTAAGAAAATAGTCATTATTTAATTGAATATATATTTGTTGAATATATATTCATCTTAATTTTATTTACATATTCACACACTTTCAATCTTATATCTAGGTTGAAAGTATATGTACAAATGCATGTATACTTTAAAATATTTTGTTCTTTCTAAAACTAAAAGCAAAATCAAATAAAAATGTTCTTCAGAGCCAACTATTATACCATTAGCCTGTGATAGTTGTTTCTTTCTCACTCTGTCCTTTAAGAGAAGATTTTTAAATGTGGTAATTAGTGGATAGATATACAGTAGCTGTAACCAATCTCTCAGAAATAGACACTAAGTTGTCCAAAATCCCTGAAGACAAGAGATTATTTTATCCACAGTTATTTTATCCACACAGTTGAGTAAAGAGGGACAGAGAACATATTCAAAAGCTACGATAAGCTAGTATGTTGGTACACACTTATAATCACAGCTACTCAGAGTCACAAAGGTAGGAAGATTGGGCTCAGGGACCAGCTGGGGGTGTGGGAACGCCCAAACTGAAAAGCACTAAAAGACTAAAAGCAAAACAAAATAAACAAACAAAAAAATAGAGCTGTAGCTCAAGAGGTAAAGCACTTATCTAGTACAAAAGCTAAAGACTCAATACCTCAAAAAAAGGAAATGTTTAAATGGCTGCAAGAAACAACAGTAATCCAATAGCTTCCTTCATTAAAAATAATTTTTAAAAGTAAGCAAACCCAATAGAAGAAGTATAGACATTAAATATATAAACAGTTCTTGGTGAATTATAGCTATTCAGTACCTCAAAATAGTGGTATTAAGTCATCCTATGCTTGATCTCAAAATATCCATGTGATTTCCCAACTTAGCAACCCATTACCTTTTTCTCTAGGGCATAGATACATCTGACATCTACTTTTTACAACAGCAGAATAGAGATACTGGAGAGTCATCTTCTAATCTGTATTTTCCAGAATTGGGCAGATCTTTGCACTCTGAAATAAACTTTCGAAGTTCAGTCTCTGGGAAGCCGTTTTGTTGATAGTGCTATGCAAAAGAATGAAAAGGCTCTCATTAATACACACATTGAAAAGAGATTTTTATCTAAATACAACACAGATCATTTGGCAGGGGAGATCTTCCTAGAGGGACCGTTTAGCTCTCTCAAGGATGTTAGGAGATGTAGCCTCTGGAGACATTCGTAAGCTGGACTGAGGTGAAGTAGACCTGGGACTTTGCGGTCACCTTCCTGCCTCTCCTTTCCTGGTCCACCTTAACCCACAGTGGGCACGCTACAGTGGGCATGAAGCCTCTTTCTGGTGAGGATTAAGTAGCTGTACCCTGAGTCTGACACCTTATTACCACTCTGCCCAATAGCCCCATGACCTCCAGGCCAGTGTAAAGCAAACTTCTTGGATGAACCTGGTTCAGGCCATAGAAGTCCAAATGATCCAGATTGATGGATTATGTTGAGGGTGAAGAGTGGGCATTGTTTGTCTTCCCTGGATGTTCTCTGTACAATCTTAGGTGCTCCTAGCTGGTCCAAGTGTCTAAACAAATAGTTGACTGTCATAAAGCAACTTTCCAACCTGCAAGCTCTCATAGAACCACTGCTTCAGGTAGACAGGTTTGTTGGAGGCCTTGTATATGTACCAGTTTGAGGTCTGAACTCTCTACTGAGTCAGAAAGACTCAGACATAATTTGGCTTGCCCACATGGCAAGTGCTTTGAACCCATGAAAAGAGATTAACATTTAATACAGGAGGCTCAGGCTTACATCCTCAAAAGTTACGTTTAAAAGAGACCTTGGCTGGGCACCAATGGCTCATTTCTGTAATCCTAGCTACTCAGGAGGCTGAGATCTGAGGATTGTGCTTCAAGCCATCCTGGATAGGAAAGTCTGAGAGATTCTTATCTTCAAACAACCAGTAAAAAAGCTAGAAATGGAGCGATGGCTCAAGTGGAGAGCCCTAGCCTTGAGTGTAAAAGCTCATAAATCCTGAGTTCAAGCCCCAGGAACCAGCAGCAAGTAAAAAGAGATATTGATGTCATCCTAGGGTGACCCAGGATTCTCCACTTGTAGGTTTGAAGGTGGTAAAAAGAGCACAGCCTATGGAGGATTCAAAACAGTTACATGTATATTCTTTCCCCAGCCTTGGGGACCAAATCACTCCCTTGCTGAACATGTGTTGAAGAAAATGAAGAGGATGCTCAATCATTCAAATCTGATTTGGTGAGAATGAAGTCACAGCCCAAGCCTTATGAGCAAGATATTCATAATGATCAACTGCAAACCCACAACCTCTCCATCGCAAGAGCTAATCGCATGGCATCACATCTCATTAGTCCCCTCACTAGCTAAAGAAAATATTCCCATGTAGACATGTCCAGGCCAATGGTATACCCAACACTATAAAGTTGTTAGAAATTTAAATCTATGTCGATATTTAGTCTACATTTTCATATTTCAAGAGACTCAAAGGGATTTTTAAGTATGAATGGAGATAGTTGTTCAACTCAGGTCTCTCTAGTATACAAAGCATGAGCAGCTAGCACTCGACACAGATTGCTTTGCTATTCTGGAGGCTGAGGAGTTCTTAGAATATGCCCTGCAAGACCTGGTTCAGTTACAGCATGCTCCCAATGAAAGAGTTCTTTTTGTGTTATGAAATTTGGATTCTTAAAGTTCCCGCTGTGGAAAAAAATGGCTTTCTATAATGCTATTTACCCAATAGTGAGTGACTCTTCTATTCTAATAAAAGTTTAGAAATCTTACTTGAAAAAATCAAAATTACTTAGAGAAAAAACTTTTGACATTCTAGAAATTTTATTTCTCCTTCATTTCTTTTTCTTAGTATCTAAAGTTGAGCTCTTTATCTGCTTTTCCCCATCTTAGACATTAAATTTTGTTGTTATTATATAAGTTTTAGAAGAATGCTGCTTCTTGTGGGTTTTGGTAAACCTACCTTAATGGTTTCATAAGTGTCAGTGATCAGTGCAATGAAAAGGCTTAATATCATGTATATGAAGAGGCTGATGAACGAGTAGAGGTAAATTCTACTAAACAGCCAGACCAAGTAACTCTTCTGCTGCATTTTTGCAAATGTTGCAAACATATCATCTCCATTGATTAGAGAGAAGAGACACTCAGAGACTCTGTTCAGAGAACGGAACTGGAAAAGGAAAAGAGAAAACTTCACTTTCTTGCATGTTCCTTCCCATTGGAAGCTTTGGTCGTGATATAGTATTTAAAATAACAGGACCCCAATAGCCCAAGTTATCCTTTTCAAGCAAATTGAGATAGTCACAGCCTTTGTTTAAGTATACTATCCATCTGTCTACTGGTTTCCCCTATGATAAGTAGCTCTTTCTTGTTCTTGTTTCTCCTGTTAACTGTAGCAACCCAAATGGAAGTCAGAAGGGGTAGGTCTGCACCTTTAGGGCTTTTCTGAGATGTCTCCCTTTTACTTTATCCTCTTAGAGAGAATGTCTTGAAATGCTCTGCAGATATTTCCAGAATCTAACCAGGCCTGCTCCTGCAATTCATTAAGAAGACTATTCTATTTAAGATTGTGAATAATAGGGGCTGGGAAGATGGCTCAGTGGTAGAGCACTTGCCTTGAGCTGAAGAGCTGAAGGACAGTGCCCAGGCCTAGAGTTCAGGCCCCATAACCAGACCCAAAAAAGAAAAGATTGTGAATAATAAAGCAGGGTACCAGTGACTCATGCTTGTAATCCTAGCCACTCAAAAGCTAACCAGGGGGGGCTGGAAAGGTGGCTCAGTGGTAGAGTGCTTGCTTTCCATGCATGAGGCCCTGGGTTCGATTCCTCAGCACCACATGAGCTGAAAAAAATCAGAAATGGTGCTGTGGCTCAAGTGGTAGAATGTTAGCCTTGAGCTGAAGAGCTGAGGGACAGCGCCCAGGCCCAGAGTTCAGGCCTCACAACCAACCAACCAAAAAAAAAAAGCCAACCAGGGAAGAAAAGTCGCTAGGGTCCTGTCTCCAAAATAAACAGCAAACAAACAAGCAAAAACAAAATAAAACAAAAACCAGGCTAGAAGAATGCCAGCTATGAGTAAAAAAGTCAGACAACCGAAAATATAGGTCCTGAGTTTAAGCACTGACACAAATATTCAAGATAAAAACAATTCAAATATTTCTACAAATTTCTTTGTATACTATTTTTAATAAAGTCATATTTGAGGAAAGCTTACCTAGTAATATTAAAATATATATTGATGAATAAAATTGAATAAGCCTTGATGCCTCGTGGCAGAAGGAAGTTCATTAAGTGACATATTCCAAACAGGATTGGGGAGAGTGACCCAATGATTCTCTCAAGACAGTCACACTAGTTTACAAATAACTGTTCTACCTTCAACAGCTTAAGGCTGAACCCCAAAATAAAAGGCTCCTTTTACAAACCTTTGGACCTTGTCTAAGAGTTTTATAACAACAGGAAAAACAAGTTGCTTCTTCATACCTTGTCATGGTAAGGCCCCAGTACAATCCATCCACAGAAGCAGTAGCCTAAATAAATCATGGCAGCACAGCAGCAGAACCGGATGACATTGGGCAGAGCTGCCTGAAGGGTCAGAATTAGGAGCTGTGAAAGCAAGAGAAGTTACTAGCACCCCCAAAAAGTGCAATAACCTCTGGAGAAATATCAGTAGCACAGAGCTCCATAGAATGCCTTACATTGTACTTCTCAAAGAAACCAAGGTACCGGATGACGCCAAGCCACACCAGCATGGTAGAGGTCCCAAGAAATATGCTACAGATATCATAACTTGTGAGACTCTACAATGGAATGGGGAGAAAATAAATTAAATGGCAGAAAGTCATTTTGGCAAGAAATACTTATTGAGTTGGGTATTATTATAAGGGAAGGAATAGAGCTAAGGATAAAGAGAAAAATTGTTTCCCTAATCAAGTTGCATCCTAGTCGGAGGCAGGGCACAGAAACAATAGTAATGAATATATGAATAGAATCTTCTGTACATTTACTAATGGTAAATACTGAGGAGAAAGGGCAGGGTGGAGATAGGGAACAGCTATGAGTTTGTTGTCTGGAATAGAGTGATCAGAAGTGATCACAATGAAAATGTGGCATGGAGCAGTGATTTGAAAGCAATGAGGGAGCAAGTGAAGTAGTAAGATAGAAGCTTACAGGCACAGGGACCAGCAAATGCAAAGGTTTCAGAGCAAGGAGGGAGCCTAGCAGAAATGGTGAGCCTTGCCAGGTGCTGGTGGCAATTCAAAGCCAGCCTGGGCAAGAAAGTCTGCGAGACTCTTATCTCCAATAGATTACCAAAAAAGCCAACAGTGGACCTGTGGCTCAAGTGGCCTTGAACAAAAGAAGCTCAGAGACAGTGCCCAGGCTGATGGGTCAAGGTGGAGATAATTGACTACTGCACTTAGCACCCTGGAAAGACATGGCAATCTGATCAGACAGATAGGAGAATGTATAGGAGAAGTAGTATCTTGAACAAAGCCACTTTTTGAGACCTTTTGATTATATAAAACAGAGCTGAGAAATGGGGCAGTAGACAGAGAGAGAAATGGCACTCTGATTTTACCTTTTTGAAAGGAGAAAAAAAACAAGCTAATTGGAGAATTACATGAGAGAGAGAGAGAGAGAGAGATCAATCAATAATTCAAAAGAGAAGAAAAGTAGGTGGCACTATGACTTTGAGATAGCTATGTCCTAACCTTGCTCCTGGTAGGCAAATGAAGAGGTTGGTCTCATAGAGTAAGCTAAATTATTCAGAGTATCAAGGATAACCAAATATAAAGGTCTTGAGGCTTGCAGGCCACTTACACAAGTTAGACAGGGATTTATGGAAGTTCTGTTATTTTTTTCTTTTGTATGTGTGAAGTAGAAAAGAGGGCCATCAGTTGCAAGTGAGGATGAAAAGGGGCATTATAGGTTTCAGAAGAGAAGGATTTGCCATCTGAAACGGGAGAAGTAGATTTTCTAGACAAATCAAGGATCGTTGGATATCACTAAGGGATATTTGTAAAAATGTCTGTAAAACAAATGGCACATGGCCTCCCTAATATATGGATGCTAAAGCCAAAATGCAAGGAGATATGACAAAGTAAACAGGACTCGGGAAATAAAGGACTTCCACTCATTTTGTCATCTCATTGCTAAGTAACTCCATGTCCTTGACCACATATATGCTGTACGTATGCACACACCTGAGGGAAGCTAGGAGAAGGACAGAATCAGAGGGAAATGGGAAAATATAAGACAGAGGGGACTATCAGCTGCACTGGACACTGATGAAAATGAAGTAAGCAACTCAAGGGCAGTGATGGGAGGGAGGGAACGAGAAGGAAAGAGGGAACATCTGATACTAAGCAAAAAGGAAAGAAGTATACATATCACCCAATGTGGAAGAAATAGTTGTATGGTCAAAGCTCACAGAATTCATAAACTTCATAGACCATGATAATGACAATTTGCCTTGTGAAGGTTAAAACATGTCTTTGACTTTAACTAAGTATCACTATTCCACAATACAATGAAATATGTGAAATTTATGAAATCACCTAATTGCAATAATTTTTAAAAGGCTGTAAAAATAAATAAAGGTTTGCTGCCAATCTACCCTTAGTCCTGCTTTTCTTTTTGTTTTTATTCCTAACATTAAATGACATAGACTACAGTCACATATGGTGGCAGCTGCTTAATGTTGACATAAATCCACTCTCCTTCCTAGGCCCATCCTAAGCTTTGCTCCCCACCCCTACTCATAGAAAGTGTCACTACATTATCACCAGTGGGATGTGAACAGGTTTTCCACCATGCTTCAACCAGTGCCACAAGACCTGGAGCATTTTCCACCACATGGTGGTTTCATTTCCCATGGGCTATAATTGCCTTGTGAGACAACACAAGGCCAATCATGCAGCAATGTGAGCCCTAAGGGCCAGCAAAGGAACAAGTTCAAAGGAGACTGGGTCCCTGCACGACTGCATGGAACTGAGTGAATGGCCTACCCTGAATATTGCATTACATAAAAGAAGTAAGTGCCTTTTATCTGAATCACTGCATTTAAGGTCTCTGCCCAGGGTTTATAACCAGCTCCTTAGGTGATGCATGTAATTAATTAGGCCCACAAGCTAGGAAAATAAAAAATTAAGATTAAATAATGTTCTCTTTTTACTTTGGTTTTTGACTTAGAGAAAGAGGCTATTTCTAGGCTAGGTTTATTTTAATTTTAAAAAGGTAAACTTGGTCTGGGTACCAGTGGCTCATGCACATAATCCTAGCTGCTCAGGAGACTGAGATCTGAGAATCCTGGTTCAAAGCCAGACAGGGCAAGAAAGTCTGTGAGACTTTTTATCTCAAGTTAATCACCAAAAGAAAGAAAGAAAGGAAGAAAGGAAGGCAGGAAGGCAGGAAGGAAGGAAGGAAGGAAGGAAGGGAGGAAAGAAGAAGGGAAGGAGGGAAGAAAGGATGGAAGGAGGGAGGAAGGGAGGGAGGGAGGGAGAAAGGGAGGGAAGGAAGGAAGGAAGGAAAGAAGAAAGAAAGAAAGAAAGAAAGAAAGAAAGAAAGAAAGAAAGAAAGAAAGAAGGAAAGAAGGAAGGAAGGAAGGAAGGAAAGAAGAAAGAAGGAAAGAAAGGAAGGAAGGAAGAGGGAAAAGCTAAAAGTGAAAATGTGGCTCAAGTAGTGAAGTGCTAGCCTTGAGCAAAGAAGCTCAGGGTCAGTGCTGAGGCTCTGAGTTCAAGCCCCAGAATCAGCAGGAAAGAAAAAAGAAAGAAAGAAAGAAAGGAAGGAAGAAAGAAAGAAAGAAAGGAAGGAAGAAAGAAAGAAGAAAGAGAGAGAGAAAGAAAGGAAGGAAGGAGGGAAGGAAGGAAGGAAGGAAGAAAGAAAGGACCAGAAAAACAATAAACTTGGAACACAATCTTGGGGAAAGAATGAAGGTGGAGTCCTCTTGTTTTGAATGAGCAAAGGAAACAAATACAAGAAGTACATAGTAGCACCTTGGCCTCACTTCCCCCAACCCAGCTTACTCTTTTTAGTTGAACATTTTTAAACTTCTTATAAGTTTTTTTAATCTTTTTATCTCAATTACCTTGCTATTTGTGCATAAGTATGCATGGGCTTCACTGAAAAGTTCAAATTTATTAATCTAAGGTAGGATATTTTTACTGGGCACCCAAATGATTCTATGCTTTCAAAGATTCTTTCTGAGAGACTTCCTAAAGTGATGAAAATAAGGGTGATTGACTTCAAGTTTACTCAATAAAAGTTTTAAAAGATATCCTTTACTCTGAAAATTCTCTCATTTAGAAAAAATGCATTAATAAATTTGAAACTAATCATGGTATGGTTAGGGAAAATTTTTTTACCTTAGCTTGGATTTCCATTTTCAGAACTGACCCAATGATTGTCAGTATATCACTAATAATAATCATAATGTACCATCCATTGACAAATTCCATTTGTTCAGAAACAGAAACTTTCTTTTTGTAGTGGAGGAGGAAAAAATTGACAAATTCCTTTATGGAAAAGAAAAGAGGCACAGTGAGGTTTTTCTGTCAGTCAAAATGTCTGTGTGGTATTCCTGGGAAGCAGTAGCCTTTACCTGCTGAAGCTGAAGTCCTCTAATCACAGATCTAACACAGAGAAGCAGCGAAGACAAGCAAGTCAGAATGACAAAGGCATCAAAGATCATCATGTAGTGAGTGTTCTTCTGAACTGGAAACAAAGAAGATTTTGTAGTGTGTAAATGGTGAGATATTAATACAGTGACATCTACTTCTTTTTAGAGCAATTTCGATAATCCAAGCATTTTTTCCAGAAAGAAAATACTGAAAAGGAGCCTCAATAAACATCTTTTCAGGAGGGGAATTGTGGTTCATGACCGCAATACCAGTTATGTGGAAGGCAGCAATGGAAGGATCCTGTTTGAGGACAGCAGGGCAAAAGAGTGAAACCCTATCTGAAAAATAAGCTAAAAAAGCAAAGGGACTGAGAGACAGCACAAGTAATGGAGTATTTGTCCAGAAAACACAAGACTCTGAGTTCAATCCCCATTACCTATGAAGAAAATAATAATAGAACCATATTTCTATTATTACTATTTAAAGAAAATTAAAATTATTTCAATATCACTATAGCCAACATTCAAAGATCTTTAGTTTATCAGTTTGTGGGGTGTGGTTCTTAAATACATTTTGCATTTTTGCAAAGCACACCAACATATACTGATCTAGGTATAAAACCTAGATTTTTTTCTAGATGGTGAGGTACAGTGTACAAGATAGGTTCCTGGTCTTATGGAAGTTCTACTCTACGGTAGCAAGTAAAACAACAATGAACAAGTACATGAACAAAATACTTCTGCACAGAAGTGATATAAGCAAAGTGAATCATCATACTGGACAGGTATGAAGCCTGAATTTTCTGTTAAAAAGTCTTGCAAATTGTTTTGCTCAAAAAATTTTTGCTTAAAACCACGATCCTCCTGACCTCAGCCTCCTGAGAAACTAGGACTACAGGTGTGGGCCACTGATGCTCAGCTTCTCATTTGCATTTCTAAGACTAGACCAGTTCCTCACGGAGTCTATCCTGAAACCCAGATGGGACACAATGAGTAGATGTGGGAGTCTCCTAAGTCAAGTCCTCCCTGATTCTCCCTAGGTGTAGGACCACAGACCCCAGGCTTCACTCCTGAGCCTTGGTTTCTTTTCTGTAACAATAACAGTTTTACCTCTCTTGAGTATCAGGAAGATGAAGGTAGAAATACATAATATGCACCTGGTAAGTTTTGGCTAGGGTAAGTGTAGGTTTGGAGTAGAACTATAAGTATGAGCTTTGTCAGAAGTGGAGTCATCTTAATGCTTTGAACTTATGTATTGCCTGAAAAGTCAGGGATCTACAATAGTTTCTCTACCTGCAGACAAGTAAGGACTTGGGAATGATATAATCCCTTACTTGACATTCCAGATGCAGTAATTTAATAGGCTTTTTTTTACATTATTCAATGACCCTCCTAAAAAATGAGTAAAGCTGTTCACTCACTTGATCCAGATACATGCCAGTCTTTACATTCTCTGATGGAAATGTCATTATCTAAGCTTATTTTAATTCTTCCACTATGAGCCTTGTTGTCAAATGTTATCTGGAAAGAAAGACAAAGGATAAAAGACATATGCATAGTTTATGAGCCCAACACACCTCTGTGCACTAATTAGGAAGCAATTCTTCCAAAGGGACTAAACATGGAGATTCTCATCTATGATCTGTTTGCTAACTCTATTCATCTCTAGAAGCTCCCTTCATCTCTCTGTGAGTTGAAAAGTTGAATTCGCTCTTCTATAGAGACTTCCTAAAACCCTATGTCCTTAAGTCATCATGCCACTGTGGATACCTTATATAACAAGAGTGTTTGCCCTCCTTCCCATTCTGAGTATCTCCAGATGCTCTCTTGTTTTGGCAAGAGCTGGTGCACCTATGCTTTGCCCTGCAATTATAGTCAAGCCTCAGTTACAAATAGATTTTCAGTGCTCCTTAAGAGTTTACTGACACAAAGGCGCATGATTTCTATCTGGACACATTTCAGGAGAGTTTATTTTCTTTCTGAATTTAGATATCTTAGTCACTTTAGTATCACATACATTACAAAGGGGCTTGGTGCCAGGTGCCAGTGGCTCATGCTATAATCTGAGGATCACGGTTCAAAGCCAGCCCCAACAGGAAAGTCCATACGACTCATCTCCAACTAACTACCAAAAAGCCAGAAGTGGAGCTGTGGCTCAAGTGGTAGAGTGCTAGCCTTGAGCAAAACAAAATGTCAATGCTCTTCCATCTGTAATAAAAACAGAAGTGAGTTACTGATGTTAATCTCATGAGATGCTAATCCACCTGAGAGCATCTTGTGCTATCTAGAGTACTTAGTGGCTTCATCTGCAACCAAGAACAACAGCGAAGTGGCAGGTGGGCTGACAGGGAAGAGGCCAACCATGCTTCAGAGGCAACATGAGGAAGTCACTGAGAGCAATAATCCAAAGGCTGTAAACCTCCATAATGAGAAAACTCAGTACCAGGATCCTCGCCAATAATAGTAAGACCTGTTCCTCTTATGTTTGCACATCTACTGTGTTCGGAGCACTGTACTGGAGAGGCAATGAAAAGGCAAGCCTGCACCCTTAGAGATCTTACAGTGAGGTACAGATGAAAAAGAAGTAGTAAGCAATTTCTAACAAAGTAGAAGTCATATCAATAGCCCACCTATGCACATTCACGTAGAAACAATTATTTTATGGTGCTTTAGTACAAATAGATGAAGTATATAAGTAGAACAATTTTTCTCTGGACTGGAAACAGTTTCAACACAGCCCACACTTACAGTCAGAGTAAAGTCGTAACAGTCAGGGAGCTCCTGATGACGGACTGTCTGAAGATTAATGGCCTTCAGTTTAAACTGGAGCTCCACTGTCAGGAGTCTGGAAGGCAGAGATGGCTTTAGTTTAAGGAATATACACACAAGCCCAACTGACACACTTTCCTCACCTGTGGAAGTCCAATGTTAAGTTGAGTTTATTTTCTTCCAGGGTTCCAATATGAAAAGGTTCATCAGGCTCCACATAGAAACATTCTGATAAAGAAAGAAACAAACAGAAATTCATGGCCTGATATCTAAAATAAATAATATGACATTTTGAAAGAATAATATATTTATGATCAGTTATTGGAGCATTACTTATCTGAATTAAGATTTTACAAGCTAGACATCAAAAACATTTGATGTTTTAAAGACACATAAGGCTATATTTCTAGATTGATTGAAAGCTAGAGAAAAACTTGAACTCTGCCTCGGTGGGGTCCTCTAGAAGGCAACTTTCCCTCTTTTCTCTTTAAGCTTAGATTAAAGGGTTTATAAGAAAAGAAGGGTTTGTAATACATTGTCTAAGATTATCTAAGTTAAAGGATCCATATTTTAAAATCTTACTGTGTTGACATTTTTTCCCTCAACAAGCACTTTTAAGACAGGAAAATGGCATTTTAGAAACTTTCCACTACTTGTACCATTATTCTTTATTGTTCCTCTCCAATCAATATATCGAGAATTGCTAAACCTGATGTTCTGCTACTATAGCATCCATCTAGTTCACCAGCATATTCAGCATGAGAGATGATGGGCCAGCTTTCAGTCCTGCCTCTTATCAGCTTCATCCTGACCCCTACTTCGGATTTCTCTGAAATGGGGATAACAAACCTTGATTCGTCTATTTATTTTTGTTTTGTTTTGAGTATTCATGAATTACAGTGAAGGGCTTAGGACACCTAATCATCTCTGTGTAATTCTTCCTATGCTATAATAGCACATGCAGCCCAGTGTTTTCAGAGGGGAAAATAAAGGTTTTAAGCATAAATCAAGGAGTCAAAAACTACAGTTCTGGAAAGGCATCACCTGTTTCAATTTCTGGATCAATGTCAAAGGTATCATTTCCAGGACAGATGGTCCCTTGCTTATAGAAGTGCTGGCAGATTCCCATAGCCGACTGCCTGGTACCCTTGTTCTCATAATCGTGATTTCCAACTGAGACATTTCGGAGCTGCAAGTACTTCAACCAAAAAGAGAAACCAGAAGTGGAATGTCAGCCAAGGCGGAAGAGACACATTGACATCCCTTTCTCTGGAACTGGCAGGTTCCCTCCTCCCCAACCCAGGTGGACACCACATTGATGTGCCAAGAAAGTGACTTGCTGCTGGGCACCAGGATAGCACAGGACAAAGAACACTCTGGAGTTCTGGGTTCCAGACAAACAAGGTTTCTGACTGAACCTCTGGTTCCTTTCCCTAATCCCTATCATCTTTGAAGTTCTTGTTATGTCCTGGAACTGATTTTTACATTTAATGTGAATACACAAATTATTCACCTTTGAATTATTTCCTGCAAAGTCATATGGTTCTGCTTTACTACAGTAACATGAAAAGTGGAATACTTTTTTCTAGGCTAACCGTAAATTTTTCCTGGAAAGTATTCATCTTTATTTTGGCATAAATATAGTTTAACCCTAGAACTAGCAGGAGGGAAGGGAAGAAGGAAGAAAGGAAAAAAGGAAGGAAAGAAGGAAGGAAGGAAGAAGGGAGGGAGGGAGGGAGGAAAAGAGAGAAGGAGGGAAGGAAGGAAGAAGGGAAGGAGGGAGGGAGGAAAAGAGGGAAAGAGGGAAGGAAGGAAGGAAAGAAGGAAGGAAGAAGGGAGGGAGGGAGGGAAGGAGGGAGGGAAGGAAGGAAGGGTCATGAATTGCTTTCTAATTCCCTGCAGGAATCAGCTAGTGACCTCACTACAAGGCTCATGCATCTCCTCACTTTCACTGCTATTGCTCTGGTTCAAGCCTTATCATTTCTCCCTGGACAAGACCAGTCCCTTACCTGTTCTTCCTGCTTCTAATGCTGCCTTTCACCCCAGTTTAGTCTCCATCTAGAATGCAGGAGTGAGTGGATTCATGTAGGTGAAACCCTTAGAACTGTAATACCCAGAATGTGAACCCACTTAAGACTGCTTTGGGGATGTATCAGATGAGCAGAGGGAAAAAAATATGGGACAAACCACTTGTGACTGTACTCATTACCTGCCTCTTCTGACCATCTCCAGTTGTTTCCTCTGCTTACTTTTTTCCATTTCCATAGTACTGATAACCAACTGACAGATGACACTCTTACATATTGAATCATGGCTCATCTCTCCCTGTTAGAGTATGACCTCCTTCACCTTTTTCTGATTGTTCATTGCAGTAACCCTGCGCCCCACCAGTATCTGATAATCATAGATGCTAAATAAATATTTGAACAAATACCTGTTAGCTTTTGCCATTCTATATTAGTCTCTCCCATACCAAAAACCTTCTCTGGCTACCTGGCTCCTAGGTCCCTCAAGATAAGACTCAAAGTTCCATTCCAGCCTAGGAAAGCCCTGACAGTCCTGTCCTCATTGCTTTACTAGGATAGCATTCACTATACTTCATTTCTTTATGCATGCCACATGCTTTTGAGTTCTAAGACCTATGTTGTGGCTTCTCCTTCAGCCTAAAATTTTCTTCCCTAGCTTGAAGTTGAATGTACTGCCACTGCCTTGTGCTGCTTTATTTTATCTCATAGCATCCATTGCTACCCTATGTCAAACAATTTTGGTTCAATCTATCAAAATTCATCTCCCCGATCAGCACACCAGCTCCACAGAAAAGAGACTTGATTGAGTTTTATGGCTCTAATGGCAGCACTTTGGGTACATGGTAGGTGAGCAAATACTTGTTAAATTAATCTTGAGGTGAAAGGTTATTATATTGTAATAGTCACTCTTCATTCCTGCAGTTAATCTATGTACATTGAGTTGGTAGACTGTCAGGATTACAACAAGAAGCTATTCTGTGAGCGTTAAGATTGGGAAGGGCAGCTGAGTTATTCCTAACACTAGGTTCAGTGCATGTAAGGAACATAGTTGCCAATGCTTTTCAGTTGCCCTACATAGTTACTCTACATGTATAGCTGGAGATAGCTTTTGCGTTCCAGCAAGTAGACCAGTACACCTGAGATATACAATGTGTAGTAGAAAGCAAATGTAGAAAGGCATTCAGGGGATGTGTGGAAGAATCATAGCTGTGATAGGGCCCATAGCTCTGTGGGGCAATCCCTGCAAGAGCTACTTGAAACACAGAACCTCCTAACTGGAGAATCTTTTGTTGTGAACCTTTTAAGGGTTGCAGATAAGCCGGGCACTGGTGACACTCACGCTGTAATCCTAGCTACTCAGGAGGCTGAGATCTGAGGATCTTGGTTCAAAACCAGCCCAGGCAGAAAACCAGAAGTGGCGCTGTACCTCAAGTGGTAGAGCACTAGCCTTGAGCTGAAGCACTGAGGGACAGCACCCAGGGCCAGAGTTCAAGCCCCATGACCAATAAAATAAATAAATAAATAAATAAATAAATAAATAAATAAATAAATAAATTTTTGCAGATGTAAAAGATCTGAGGCCTAGTGCTACAGGTAGCAATTAACATAGTAAGCTTCTAGGCAGTTTTAGAAAGCTCTTTTGCAAAAGTGTGAACTGAATGGTCTAGGGCATGTGGCAGGGCTGTGTCAAGCTAAAGGACTACCCCCAAAGACCAAGCCAGAGGATTACAGGACAGCTATATGAGGAGAGATTATGATTGGAAGGTGAGTTCCTTAGGGAACTCCTGGGCAAATTGCACAGGGCACTTCTGTAGCTAAGACTTCTGTGGGGTTGGGGTTTTAATTTGGCACCTGTTCTTTCCAACCTGTGCAACTCTGCCTTGAAATAAGTTTTTTTTACTTGATTCAGGGTCCCAGGTGGTCATCCTTGGGGTGCTAATATAAAACCCAAATTAACGTCCTTTAGCTAGGTGGTGTGGCTACATAAAATTAAAACTAGTTGTTATTTGATTATAGATTTCTTACTTATGGCCCTTATAATTTGCTGGTAAAATGAGTTTTTCAAACTCATTTACTAATTCACAAACATTTCTTGTGTCTTTTTTAGAATAAAGATGTCAACTAGTGTGCTGCTGGATACTGATGGAGATGTAATGTATGGATAGATACAGTATATGGATCTATCTCTGTGTCTATACAATGAGGAGTCCATAGTAAGATCTATAATCTTAGGCCAATTCCCCAGAAAACTGACAAGAAGTAGCAGGGCAGGTAGATGGGTAAGAAGGGAAGCCAACCACTTACACAAGGTATTTAAGCTGTAAAAGTAAATAACTCCTGGGAGATCCTGAGGCCTTTAAATCTAAGCAACTAACCAGAAACACAAAGCCATCTGGAAGCAGATAGGAAGAAAATGTAAAGCTGCTTTGAATGGGGTGATTCCAAGACAAATCTTAGAAAATTGCCCAAATTTATGGAAAGAAAAGGAGTCAGTAAAGATGACCTAGAAGTGAAATAGAAATAAGCTGAGTACTGGGATTGTGCCTCTGGTAGAGTGCTTGCCTAGCATGCATGAAGCCCTGGGTTTGAGTCCTCAGTACCACATACACAGAAAAAGCCACAAGTGGCTCTGTAGCTCAAGTGGTAGAGTGCCACCCTTGAGCAAAAGAAGCTCAGAAACAGTGCCCAAGCCCTGAGGTCAAGCCCAAGACTGGAAAAAAAAAAAAGAAGGAAAGAAGCTGAAAGCTGAAATGAAATATAAAATATAAAAAGCTAAGTCTTTCAACATAACGTCTTGTACATCTCATTGTTGCAATGGGTCCACCTGTATCCCTATCTAAACAATTTGTTTTTTCCCTTCCCCTCCACAAATTATACTAACTAACCCCTCTGTACGGTATTTTCACAATAAAAAAAGTTACTTAAAAAAAGCTAAGTCTTTGACACTCAGATATAGAAGCATAAATAAGCCAACAGAGATGCTGTTACAATCACAGTTTGCATCCAAATGAGCTCTGGTGATTATCCAGTTAGATGACATTGTGGGATTACCTCTTCAGCATAATTAATTCACCAATTCATCATAGAAATACTTCTAATGACTGAGATGGCAGGCTCTTATCGGTTCCCCCAAATGACTGTCAACTCAAATACCAAGACATTGTATTATAGAAAACAGATTCTCCGTTCCCCACCTCCACCCCCTCGTTCTCTAAGTGAATGTAGAATAATGGATCTCATTAACAACAAAATTCTGTTTGTTCATGAAGCATCTGAATAGGATATTTTTAATGTTCATCTAACCATGGTGAATGGTGCTTGGGAGACAGTAAAGATTCCTCTACCCAAGCTCTTAGAGTGATATATTTATGTATTAGTGCTGGTTTATTATGCCCTTCCAAAATTCATATGCTGGAACTTAAAACTACAATATGATAATACTGAGGGAAAACTTCTAGTTGAGTAATTAAGTAATGAGGGTGCAGCTCTCCTAAATGGGATTAACAACATTGTAAATGGGCCAGAAAGGCAGGCACTGGTGGCCCACACCTATAAATCCTAGCTACTCAGGAGGCTGAGATCTGAGGATCACCATTCAAAGCCAGCCTCAGAAGGAAAGTTGGTGAGACTCTTTATCTCCAATTAATCATCCAAAAGCAAGAAGTGGAGCTGTAGCTCAAGTGGTAGAACGCCCAGGGATAGTTCCTAGGCCCTGGGTTCAAGACTGAGGTGTGGCACACATATATACACAAAAGGTTAGAAGTCAGTTAGACTTTTTTTTTTTTTTTTGGTCCGGTCGTGGGCCTGAACTCTGGGCCTGGGCACTGTCCCTCAGCTCTTCAGCTCAAGGCTAGCGCTCTACCACTTGAGCCACAGTGCCACTTCCGGCTTTTTTTCCTTTTTGCTTATTTGGTGCTGGGGAATCGAACCCAAGGCCTCATGCATGCAAGGCAAGTGCTCTACCACTGAGCCACCTTCCCAGCCCTCAGTTAGACCTTTTAATCCTTCTGCATCCCTTTTACCATATAAGAAAGAGGAGCAAGATACATGACACTAAGCCTTCAGCTCTTAATCCTAGCCTTCCCAGTATACAGAACTGTAAGAAATAAATTCCTGTTGCTTATAAATTCTCTAGCTCAGTTATTTTATTATTGCGACAGGAACACACAAGACTAATACAAGGAATCTTCATAAATTTCTACATGTACAGAAAATGGAGATCTGATTGGTAGAATGACCTGGAAGTCAAAAAGAAAGTATTTTGAAGACTGAGAATTTAGAGGACTTTGTACCTCTTGCCTTGCCCATTCCCCACCCCCACCCCACCCTCCAAGAAACGATCAATTCTGTTCAGAATAGCTTTACAGGAACTCAAAACACTCAAAACTAAATATCTTCTACAACAAGATATTTTCCTGTCTATAGATTGTAGGGCTTAATTCTGTTAAACAAATTAGAGAATATTTTTCTATATGTATGTGTTGGTACTAGGCCTTGAACTCAGGACCTTGTGCTCTTGCTTGTTATTTTGTTGTTGCTGTTATTGTTCAAGGCTGGTGCTCTGCCTCTTAAGCCACACCTCCACTTTCCTGTTTAGCAATTTGTTATTTCTATTATTATTTCACTTCGTTGCCAACTGAAATCCCTGGCACCATAAAGATCTTAACAGTTTACCATATCAATTTGCATAGATTTTCCCTGAAAGAGGAAATTATTATTATATGTGAAATAAGAATTGCAGAAAATATTAGATATATCTGTAAACTAAGCTAAGATAGAAATACTGGCTTCAAGAGCAATTTCAATAAAACCTACAAAGTGGGAAATTTGTGACCTTGAGAAAAGTATTACTTGCACCAAAAATAATGACTAAAACCTCAAAATAAAAATAAGTCGCATGGCATGAAAAAAATTGGCTTATTTCTTGCTTATCAGTCAACACCACAATGAAGTCATTGTCATGTATGACATAAAGCCTCACTTACTTTGAAGTGAACTTTTAGGACTTGATTGCTATACAAACTCAACTGTGTTATTATTCTCATTATTTGTTATGAGCTCTGAAAGTATAAGCTCTGAAGATGTAATGATTACTTCTACACAGGGTCATGTTCCTAATTTAAAATATTTGTGGTTGCCATGCCAACTCCTAGCTCCAATTGTTTTCACTGAAGCATTGAAAGTTTTCATCTCTATCAGTACTAAAGAAAGGCTTCTTTTCAATTCCTCGTTTTGTAAAAGTGTGTTAGCAATATTTTTTAAAAAATCAATTGTGTTGGTGCCAGTGGCTCACATCTGTAATCCTAGCTATTTAGGAAGAAGGCTGAGATTTGAGGACTGAAGTTTAAAGCCAGTTTAAAATGTCTGTGAAACTCTTATCTCTATTTAACTACCAAAAAAGCTGAAAGTGGAGCTGTGGCTCAAGTAATAGAGTACAACCTTGAGAGAAAAAGTTCAGGGACAGCATCCACACTCTGAGTTTGAGTCCCAGTACCAACACACACACACACACACACACACAATGTAAAATAGAAATATAAAATAGAAAAGTATAATTATTCACTGTTCAATACTCAAGTATCAGTTTCTAGATTAAGATCCATTGCTATTATTTCCTAGGTCCATTCTTTCTCCCAAGTATTCATACTCAAGATGGGGTGTAGCTCAGGGCTACAGCACTTGCTAAGGCACTGACTTCTATCTCTAGCACTAAAATAATGCACACATTTGATTTACCTGGTTTACTGCAAAGATGATCTGATCATATACGTCCCTTTGTGTGTACACTGCATACGTGTCATCCATTCGGTCCATGTATCCTTTCAGGAAGAGGTGCTTGAAGGCTATTGTGTTTTCTTCCTTGAAAGCTACCACCATCTGGTTACTGAGTCCAAAAAGGACCAGCTTACAAGGGAAAAAAAGGAATGACAAGAGGGTGAAAAATCTAAACAGCAAAAGAGGAGGGAAATGGTGCAGGGGCTTGAATGGTAAACAGAAGAATCTGCAATGAATTGTGTAGGACAAGAAGGCTTGAAGCTGCTGAATAATCTACTTCCTGGGCCTCATTACTATGTCAGGGACAATAAGACCCAATTAGAAGTTATCCTTGTGATGAATCCCCAAATTAAAGTGTAAGAATTCAATATGTCCTTAATAGTCATGTAGGGTTGACCCCAGACTTTTGTGTGAAACTCAATCATTTAAAATAAGATCACTTCATAGCATTGCAATGGTAACACTGGCTCTTTCGGTCAGATCGAAAGCTGCTGCACTCCAATTGTCTCTTTCATCTTCTTTTCACCCCACCCCCCACCAAACCACTATCTACCCCATCACACCTTTAGAATGCATATTCTGGCTTAGGTAAATCCAAGCTGAGGTGGGGATGCCCTACATCGAAATAGAAAGAAACACATCACCTATATGCTAGATACTCTTCCAGAATTTCCTTCATAGTTCTCTCAAATCCATAGTACAGTTAGCAATTACAAATTTATGAATGAGTGCACAAAGACCCACAAAAATTAAGTAATTTTTTCCAAGGCACACCTAGCAAGTATATAGCCAAAATTGTAACCCAGGCCCAATAGATTAAATCTCTATCCATCCTGTTATGTTATGAAAAGTAATTCAGGGTCTGGTCAGGAAAAATATAAAGTAATCTTTCTCACACTTGCCTCTTGTAATGTATGACCTGAACCCACACCATTTCACCCTCTATATGTCTCATTTCTGAAGAGTCTCTTTAAGCTAAGTATCCTCACTGAAGTCCTAATAGAATTAGTTGATATTCTAGGGATGTTATGTCTATTGAAGCTGATAACAACAAACCTCCAAAGATTTCCCAAAGATATCCTTGCCAAGTTATTCAATTACATGAGTCCCTCCCACATGCCAACCGTGAATTAGGTACTGAGGATATGAGAAGACAATCTGCTCTGGCCCTCAAGGACTACCTGAGAGCATGACCATATTCAGAGACTCACCAGGTAGTAGAAGCAGCACTTTTACTAGGGTGTGCATTATTGTAAACATCTTCTTACTTACCATTATTAGTGTTGTAGACATCTCCTAATTTATAGAAAGATTCAACAATGTGGGTTGCATACCTATAATCCTAATACTTATCAAGAAGAGATAGGGCTATTATGACTTCTAGGCCAGTCAAGGTTAAAACAACAACAACAAACAGAAAGAGAAACACTCCTTTCCTCAGGAAAAAGATAATCTGTCACCTCATTTGCTCAGTGATAAAGTTACCGTTATGTCATATGTGATTGCTCAGTTATGGATTAAGGAAATATTATAAGACCCCTTCAAGTTCTTTTTAATAACTTACCTAAACACTTTCTATGTGCTAATAACCGATAGGTTTAAACCATCAATTAATTTTCTTATTGGCCACCTTTGTAACCATAGGAGGTTAGAAGAACTCTAGAAAGGATTAAGAATTATGAATAGGTCTTAATATAAATCTGAGTGTAAATCTCAGCCCTGCCCTTCCAATTTCCTAACATGGCAGGTTATTTCCAGTGTTCTTGTCTGTGAAATAGATACCACTACCCATCCCCAATTTAAGAATTGAACATGATGACATCTGTAAAATATTTAGTCTGACACACAGCAAATATTCAAGCCATCCTTATTAATTTCTGTTTTGTTTTTACATTTTTATTAGCCTTGATTAGTTATACTAGAGAATTTCTTTTAGACATGTTTATATATGGATACAGTGGGCCTTGATTTGATTTACACAGTCATTCTCCCTCATCACCCTCCCCTCTTCTGGTACTAATTATTATTCTAAGCAAGAAACATTCATATTTAGTCAATGCAGACTTTCATTCCATATAAAGCAACCTGATAGGCTTTTTTTCCGAATGTGACACATTATCACTGAAAGCTAAGAGTTTCAATTCCAAGTGGCAAATAACTATAGTGAGATACTGACATCCTGTTTGTGATATTGAAAGGAGTGTATCTGCCCCTTAGATCTTCTAGCCAGGTGACTTTCTGAAAACTATAAACACCATTTTCCTCCTCTGTTAGATGAGAGGAGCCATTATTTACCCAAGGGAAGTGATTGGGCAGTCTTGACAGAATTAAATGAAATAATGGACCAGAATGGCCTTTTCCCTTTAAAGCAACCTTTAGTATTCAAAACTTCAGCAAGAAACCCACTAACCTTCTATAAGTGTAGAAATTTCATTAGCTCCTACCAATCACATGAATTTTTTCTCAATTAAAATTAGTAATGTCAAGCCAGGCATATTGTAATTACAAGCCAGGCTTGTAATCTTACTCGAAATCCTTGTGAAGCTGAAGCAGGATTGCTACAGCTTTCAGGTCAGCCCAAGCTATGTAGCAAGGCCTTGTCTTTAAAAAAGAAAAAAGCAGTAATGTCAGTGTTTTGTTTTGGTTTTAGCTTTATAAATCTCGCCAATACATGTTTTTACTATGAAGAGTGAACAAAAATAAACCCAATCACAACTATTATCACGCCTAAAATCTTTTTTCTTGTTGCTCTCTTGCTCCTAATGAGAAATAATTACTCTACCCAGAAGAGTATCATAAAAAAATACATCATAACTGATGATGGATGTATGGGTCAAGCTGTACAGCACTTGCCTAGCAAACAGAAGGCCCTTAATTCAAACTGCATTACTGCCTAAATTAAAATAAAATGTAGAACGTACAAGTGCCACAAAATATGGTTTCACAAAAAAATGTTTTGGAAGAAGCTAAGGAAGTTAGACTCAAAATTTCTCTTTAAGCTACAATACCATCTTGTGTCTCACTAGCTAATATCAGTTCTCTGTGTTAACTCTGTATCCCCCACTGCCCAGTTCTCATGATCAAGGGCTTGATCATGATCAAGCCAAGAGCTTGCCTATAGCAGAAACATGTTAAGTTTCTAAAGAGAGAAATGCACAAGGAACTAACCAGGGAGGAGAAGAAAATCCCTATGTTAGGAGATTGCTAGCTTCTAGAAATGATACCTTCCATTATACCCCCTTGATTAGAATCCAAATATTAATTTTTTCTACTCCTGAAAACTAATTAATTGGGTGACTAAAATGGGAACTTCATGAAAAGTGAGAAAACAAAAAAAAGCAAAAAAGAAAAAAATCTCCACTAACTCCACTCCCATTTCTGTAGTTTCTTCATACTAAATATTCTCACTTAAATACTGTAATAAAGAAAAAATGGTTAAATTTTGCTTTTCTTTATTTATTGCTCTCTATTACATATGCAATTAATGAGAAGAAGAGAAAGAAAAAGAAAGAAGGAGGAGGAGGAGGAAGAAAAGGGAGAAGAGAAGGAGGAATTACCCACTATTTTTTTGTAACTTAACAAGGCTTTTATAAAACTCTTATCTGAGATGCTTACCTGGATGGTCACCATGGCAATTTTTAGGATTTGGATAGCAAGTTTCCATGGTTTTCTACCTCGAGCCCAGAACTTCTCACATGGATTCATGAAAAAAAATTTGAGTTTTCGCCTCATCTGGTCTTCTAATAGAAGTTGCTCGGTTGGAGAAGTGTGCTGGTTGAAAGTGCAGCGATTTTCCTCTTCGTGAGAGCTGCAGCTACTTATCACTACCTCAGGATTTGCCATCTCTAAAGGGAGAAAAATAGACAACCCAATATTTCCACTCATTGAGAGGACACAGCTGGTATCATTTGCTGTGGCACCGTTGTCAGGAGGAAGCCCAGACAAGAGACCTGCTGTCACATAGCACTGCAGTGGATCTAAAGTGCACTTGAAACTTAACAGAATTGAAGGTAAAGTGTCACTTTTTAAATTTGTTTTTACTAAGAAGTGAAATTTTCAGTGACATTGTCCAAAAAGAAATGTACTCTTGACCTGACTTACGTAATTCACCCCTCTATAACCTGTATAACAATTTTAAAAATTACAAAAATAAAAAAGGTGGGGGCTGGGAAGGTGGCTCAGTGGTAGAGCACTTGCCTTGCATGCATGAGGCCCTGGGTTCGATTCCTTAGCACCACATAAGCAAAAAAAAGCCGGAAGTGGTACTATGGCTCAAGTTGTAGAGCGCTAGCCTTGAGCTGAAGAGCTGAGGGACAGCACCCAGGCCCAAAGTTCAAGCCCCATGACTGACAATAAATTAACTAATTAATTAAATTAAAATTAAAAAGTGAATTTTCACCTAGTTGAAAGTTAGCAATTCAAGGTCTACTCCTCTTAGTAAAAGGCCATATGTATGCATAAGGTATACAAGAAAGAGAAAATATGAAGAATAATAATGATGTGTACCCTTATATAATTGAGACAAGCATCAAATAAAACTGTAAACAAACCTGGATGCCATAACTCACATTTGTATTCCTTGCTACTCAGGAAACTGACATCAGAGTTCAAAGCCAGCCTGGGTCAAAAAAGTCTTGAAGATTCTTACCTACAATTATCTACTAAAAACCCAAAGGTAGAGGTATGGCTCAAGTAGTAGAGTGTCAGCCTTGAGCAAAAAAGCTAAGCAACAGCACAGGGCCCTGAGTTCAAGCCCCAGTATAAGCACCTAAATACATACATGCATACATGCATGCATGCATACATACATACATACATACATTTTTAAAATTGTAAACAAACGTCTTGCACCATCTAGCACTAAGCAAACAGCTTCACTTAAGCCCTTTCCCTGGCCCCACAGCAGACACAATCACTTCTTAAACAGCCAGCAAGATTCTCTGTGAGTGACAGAGCGAGCCTGGAGAACTGAACTGTTGTTCTGCTAAAGGGAAGCTGGACAGGCAACTGCAGTCCAGTCTCCAGCCAGTCCCATCCCTTGTATTCACTTTTCATAGAAGGCCATATAATTACATAACACATTTTATTTTCAAGGTAGTTTGTACCAATTGTTTCTTTTGTCTCTTTGAAAGGAAAAAAAATGACAGAGAAATCACTCTAGAGATCCAGATTGACCTTGGATTTTTCCATCAGACAAATATTGAGACTATGGAAATCTATTCAAAATCATATACCCCAATCTCCCCATAGAAGGGAGTCCTTCCATACAGAACAGAAAGCCTGGATGAATTCAATGCTTTTATAATAAAGTATTAAATGAGGGGAAATATTTTACCTATATTTGAGGGAACTTAAACTGTGTTTATATAATATCTAACATGTCACAGTTTGAGTGCATTAATTTTCCCAATTCTAGAAACTCATGTTTTGATTTGAATCCTAATATTGGCAGCAAAGTAACATTCCTGAAAGTCGATATTGGCTATAAAACTAGTCATGGAGAAAGTTTTAAATACTTGATTAATTAAAAGATTAATAATGATAATGCTGAGTGAATAAAGCATACAATATTGTGAGATATTCCATACAGCATTACTGTGCATGCAAAATTGAATAATTATACTAGAAACTGTTTTGATGTGTTAAAAATGCATGTCAAAATATGGGCAATAATTCTTAGTCAAAAAACATCAGGAGAGAAAAACACTCATTAATCTTTTAGGATAGTCACTCAAAGCTATCTTATTTTCTTCTTCTAAAAGGTAGAATATTTTAGTCATCATTTACGTAAGTTTATTATATTTGTGAACTGCAGATTTGAGGTCACATTAAACAGATTCCATTCTGAAATGGAGAAAATTAAACTTTAAACAAAGTAGCCACATCGTGTAACAGTAGCCCACAGCAACAAACAGACAATGAGCCAACCACAGTTAATTTATTCAGCAGATGGGCAGCACCAAGTCGTTCCGGAAGCAAACTCATTTCATTCAGGACTGACTCCTAAAGTTGCCGCACGCCTTAGTGAAAGCCTTTCTGGCCTCTCCCCCACCCCACCTCCCCCAGCTGAAGGAGTATTGGCAGCTATTCTTCACATCCATCCACCCAGGGGCCCGGGGAAGGCCAGGTGGGCGCAGGGCCCCTCGGGAGTCTCCTATCTGCCATATCAATCATGCTCTTAGAACGCGCACTCGCAGGTTATTTATTCACAGTGGTGGAAAGCTAAAGATGGACAGGTAACTGCACAGGCCTCACAGTTGACAACCCAACGCCACTGGTTTCCTCCAAACAGACACTTTCCTACTTCATCCCACACCACTTTCAGGCTTGTTTGTTTTGCGCCGATCGAGGTGGCCGGTGTCTGCAGGGCCGAGGGCCTGCGCCCTCGAGCACTGTCTCTGCAGTGAGCTGCTGTCTGCGGCCCTGATCAAAGCCTGCTTCCCGACAGCCTCCAGGTCCACCCCACCCCACCCACCTCCAATGAGAGGACGATCCGAGCAGCGGGCACCCAGCCCAGCAACGTCAAGACCCTATCCGAGGACTCGCGGCTGTGGGCGGCCGTTTGCGGCCGGAGTGCAGGCCTCGTCGTCGGGGTGGTGGCGGCCGGGGCGGGGCGGAGGGACGGCGCCCCTGCCCTCGGC